CCCCCCCCCGCACTATTGTCTTTAGAAACAGCTCCGTACTATAAGGTGTACAGTGTGGGTGGCTTTGAGTACTCATTGTTGAGTGGATCCTTGTGCTTGACCATCACTTAACTTTACGAACAACGCGTTTAAATGTGTCGAGTCCAAAGGAGGTGAGGACATAAAGACCATTGGTTCTTGGAATTCCAAAATTTAGGAAATGTTTTTTATTTAAACTCTGTAAGAGAAAAGAAATATTGTTTAAAGGTTACAGGGATTGAAAGATTATATTTTTCAAATATAACTTAAGGAAAAAACAAACCAATCATTTCATAACTTTCCGTACAAGATCTTTGAAATAAGTGCATTTTGCATTTATAGGTAGTTTTTATTAAATCTATTTCCTTTTTTGGAAATAAGTTTATTCTTTGTGAATGTTACGTCAAACAAGTTCCTTTTAAATGAATTGTATCTGTTCCAAATTACAACTCTCTAGTACAGGTTTCGTGTGAGATATTTAGAAAAAAAAGTTGAACAATTCTTGCTTTTTTTGGGGGGGGGGGTGTGAGGTTGGTTGGTTAGTTGTTTTTATCACCCTGTAATTGTCATTTAGTGCTGAGAAAAAGTAAGACAGACAGACCGAAACAACAGAAGGAAAGTTTAGAAATAGGACCTACAAGTGACACCCTCCAGCTACGCACCCGCACGAACGTTCTTGTAACACTGATAACAATAAAGGAGAGAAAAGGTTACATCTTTGACTCATCGAAAAGTGATGAATATAGTTTCTGATGAGGCAAACAGGTCTACAACTTATACTTTTTTGGGCTGGTTTCAGTTTTCAAATTGCCTGGGAAAAGGCCAAATATGAGGCAGCGTGGTGGAATCAGGCTCTTGTCAATTTTTGAGCGTGTAGGGTTATTGGCATCATCGTAAAGCTTGTTCACTTGTGTTTGTTTGGATGAAAAAAATATCCATTTATCTTGAATACAAGTCGAGATATTTGCGAATGAAGGAGGTGGGGGTCACCTGTTTTCAGAGGTAAAATTAAGGAGAAAATGGCCATCAAAGAGTATATTATATTTCCTTAGGTTTAGAGTCCGTGGTAACTGAAAATTTACATTTTTTGTGCCTTTAATCAACGTTTTCAGAAAATCCACACAGAAATGAGTTCTTTAATGGGCATGAAAGGTGTTGAGCCAAAAAACAAAAATTTGATAAAAATTCACAAACCAACAGAAAAAAGCAAGTTTCTTCACTTTGGTTATTTTGACGAGAGCCTGATTCCACCACGCTGCCTCACATTACTATGAGGGCTATAAATGGGCGAAAAGGTTTAATAGAGGTCACCGCCTATTCTGTGTTAGGACTGTCCGTGGGTGGAGTTTTCTCCCCCTTTCTGTAATAGACCTAATAATATTATGTTCGCTCGTATCCTCGCAATGAGAAACGGGTAAAGTTTCCATAGAATGAGGCACATGACGTTGTTCAACCATCTGTTCTCGATTGTCGGTCCTCGTTGGTGTAACATTGTCCCCCGTAAATTTGCCCTGAAACTTCAAAGATGTTCCCAAAGTGGGGTCAGTAAAACAGGGTGAGAGACGTCAGGAGAATTCCTGTCAGATGACGTTATGCTCTGTTGTTGGACTGGGGTCAGTTAGGGATTCGGGAAAATAATATAATTTGAGAGGATGGTTTTTCCCAGCTAAACTCAATTCGTGGGGTTTGTTTTCCTCGCCCACCGTTTATTCTCGGAGGGTTTAACAACTAAAATTAACGCCCGGACAGTAATGTTCTCTATTATATTATATAATGATATAACTTAATAAGTTTTTTTGGCCGTTACTTCTGCTGCTGGTTATGATATTTCAGGTTGTTTACGTCGTTTTTGCTATCCCATCGGTATTACATGGATCGTTGATGTAGGGCAGTATTATAATTCAATGGGTGAAAGGTCATTTGAATACCAAGGCCCCAAGATCTGGAATGCTTTACCAAGTACTTTAAGAGATATCAAATCTTTTGATTCATTTAAATGTCAGTTGAAGTCGTTTCTGTTTATAAATTAATAAGATGAATATTTGGAGCGATTTCCTTTTTGGTCAAAACACAATGTTTTATGTTACTGTTGTACGTTGAGTTGTACTGTATTGTAAAGCACTCAGAGCCTGTGTACTTTAATCGGGGTTGAGCGCAAAATAAATGTAATTTATTATTATT